TGTTTTCCAGATTACGTGACGTGCTGTTCTCCAAGATGTACGAGAGTTAAAAAATGAACCTCCTGCTCAATCAAATTCACCATGAGAGCTGGCTAAGCAACAGGCTGATTTGTCCAGTCACCCTGTCCTACAGCTCATCCATCAAGAAAGGCACAGACTGGATTAACTTTGCGGTATATCCTGAGATAACGAAGACTAATGATTCCAGAGAAGATGGGTTTAGAAGCCGTAAGGTTTACACAAATTGCCTTCACCACCCTTAAAATAATATCACCACGTTCAGCTGTCAGGTGTACAGCCAGCCAGAGGAGTGATGAAGAGTTAAGGCACGCTTATATGAAGGCTTTTGAGGAGGACATCTCCCTTACCATTGGCACTACTGCCTTTGGCAACCAGCCACCTCCTCACCGGCACCGGTTCTGCTCTTCCAGAACAGCAGCCACCCTTAAAGTTGTGAAGACCAAACAATTCCAGATCAAGTCATCTATATAATTTATGCATAACTTGAACAAAGCTTTAAACATGAATAGCAAAGCCTTCTGAATATAAAAAAATACTTTCCTGTTTCTGAAAATTCCTCCAACTTCAAGCACAATTATCAAAGAAACACTGAGCTAATTAAAAAGCTGAGCTTTATGACAAATCTAAAGTGTGCTTAGTATCACTGATTAGAAGTTTTAATATATTAGGCACGGTGCTGCAACAAAGTTGTTCTTTTACGCTTTGGATTTATTAAATATATTCATTTTAGAAGTTGACTATATAATCATCTACATGCTAATAAGAATGTTAATAGTTTTTTCTCTAAACTCATTTAAAGTGTCTTACCGTTGTGCTCCTAAAATCCAGCATAAACCCCAGCAGACACTACCCAAACTACTGCAGAATAAGTTTAACTGCTGCATTCAGCTGCAGAACAGCTTCTATTATACTACCATGACTTTACATGAACGTGAGAATCTTCCTTTTTTAGGTGAATTTTGGGAAAGCTGCATGGGAAAATAGGGTGGTTTCAGTTTTACTGAGGATTATCAGATATAAACTGGGATCTTGCCAAGATAAATGATACAAGAACTTCTAAGACCGGTTCTAAAACAAATAGTTTGCATGCTCACGCTGCTGCTAGGTATTAGTGAAATGCTTCACCAAGTTAACCGCCACAAAGCAAGAGTATTTCTAAAAATTGCGGGCAAAACCAGCAAGAAATATTGAATTGTTAGAAGGAAATTCACTGATCTGACGGGTAATGAATATACCGGAAGAAATAATCAATTTCCCATCATGTCAACAAGCTGATCCCACTCCCTTCATGACCTCATGATCACTGGGTTGAGCACAAGGGAACGGAAACACACCACTGGGACCAGTGACAGGGACCACATGCTCTTCTCAGTAGCGACCTACACTGAGATTATTTGAATTAACTCTGAAACCACATTTTCAACCTCGATTTCTTTCTGTACCAAAGCTTTCGAACCCATTTCCATCTGTACATTCAGCAAACTCTTCCAGGCTGGTTGTGTGAACAGAAAAAGTGCTTGTGTGACACCTGGTACTGGGATCTCTGACCCTCACTTTGTGAACCCGGACAATGAGGACTTTCTTTGTAACGTGAACCCCAACGAGCCACTCCGTTGAATTCCACCCATGCTAATTAACATGCCACGCCACTCCAAAGGAGCACAAAGTGAGACTAGCACAAACTGGCTAAAAAAAAATCTCAAGTTGACCCTTACCATCATCTGATGAGTGGCAAAATGGAATCAGAATTCTCATTCTGTGTAACTGCAGTGGGCAAATCATGAGCTCTTCCATGACAGTGTAAAGCATTTCCCAGAAATGGAAATGTTCAAACACAGCTTAGACAACAACTGACTGAGAAAACCTCTTCATAAAGAGCGCCCTCAAATTCAGGCTCCTACTTATAACCAGGATTGTATATAAATAGCAGATATCTTAAACATCACACATGAAGTGCAGTGAAACTTGGGTTTATTGTTAGAAATTACTTTTTTTTTGGTCAGGACTGAGGCCAGAAAAGGTTATCAATTTACTGTGCTGCCCTTTCAACTGTAGTTTCACGTACATTAAATGACACCAAAAAAAGAGGTTAGTCTTGTTAATTCTCCATCTTTATGCTCTGCTTGGAAGGATAAATGATTAGTAAAGGTTGTAACCTCAGACTCTCGTTCAGCCAGTACGGGAACATCTTAATTACCTTTCCTTTTAGATGTGCCTTCTGGTCTAAGTTATGTACATAATTAAGACTAGCAATAACCATCTGTTTGCCAGTGATTCTAAAAAAAGATTATATAAATAAAGGATCATTTAAATTCACATGCATTTAAATGTAGTTGTACTTACAGCAAGGAAAAAAGAAAAACTGAAGAGGAAAAAAAACACAAAAAAAACCCACAAACAAACAAACCAACCAAACCAAACCAAAGGAAGTACCCAAGCATTTCACTTTCTTCCCCTGCCTTCCCTGTCCAGATCCTGAATTCCATTTAAATCAAATCAAAATCAAATTGAGTTGACCCTCAGTCTCAAAACAGTTATTTACATACTGTGTCACAGTTGCCCTGGAAAAGTTTTAGATGGGAATCCAAAGGTTTTGACAAAAAAGCATTAGGAAAATTTGAGCATGAAACATTCAAGAATGCGATCTGGCTTCTGGAGAAGATGCTGCTGTTGCAAAGTGAAAACACTTCTTCCCCTTTCATAGGGAGGCGGAAATTATCTGAGATAAGGATGAAGAACACTTAGCATCCCATGTTTCAGTCTCTGACAGGGAGTTTCACCTCTTTCCTGGCACCACGTGTAGAAGTAACTGAATAGCTTTAGTATTTACTGAGGAAGCAGCTAACACGGACATTTACTTGTTACTCTGGAATAGGAGCAGGAGAGACACAGAATAACTTTTGAAGACTTTGTCATCTTTTTTTATAGTCACAGGTTGCAAATTCCAACTCAGTTAAACATAGATTTTTGTCTAACATCTTAGGGATATGCCTTAGTCAAAGATAAATGTAGAACCCACCATCAACAAGCAGCTTCTCTTATCAAAATAATGTGATGAGCTTACCAAAGAACGAGATAATAAAACAGCCCTCTGTCCCAGAAACTTTCAGACAACACTCTTCCAATACTTCACATTGGCAACTGCAAATAAAAAGACAGTACTTTAAAACATGAATCTTCGATTGGAAAAAAACAATTACTAAATAGCCAGCACCTTAGGCAAGAAACTCAACTGTTATGCTGGTTTGTCTCAATCAAAGAGGAAAAGTAAAAAGTACTAACGACTACGTAAGTCGGAACTATTGAGATCTTCATATGCCCAATGAGGGAATTTAATGATTGGATTCTGGCAGGTACACGTGCTGGTTAAGGGAATAGTTCAGAAATTGTGGTCACAAAGCATTTCAGAGTTTTTTTAAATTTCTCTGGTAGGCAGAAGTGGAAAAAAAAAATGCTTAGCAATACAAGCTACAGGAGAACTCTTTTATAGAAGATCCAACTGGTTTTGTACCGATCTTCAAAAGCGTGTTCTAATTTTACCCTAAATAGCTTTCCTATCCCCAAGAAAGCAGACAGAGACCCCTAAATACTGGTTATTACCTAAGCACTTCTGGACAAAGCTGCAAAAAACGCCAAGGGGAGCAGCAATGCGCCCATGACACCATTCCTCCCAAGTCCTAACTTTTTACCAAGTGCTGTACAATTATTTCCTAAAATAAAAATCAAGTATTGTGTCACAAATACGTATTTGTAAAAAAAAATCATAATTCTATGGATAAAATATCGAATTTGCCTCATTCTTATGCCGTCACCTCAGCAGGTATTCCCAGGGACCTTCTACAGCATCAGAACAACCGCTCCAACAGCCTGAGTCAGGCGGGACACCAAGCTCTACACTGAAATACCCAAACCCTAGAATTAAAGTTCTGGACTAAAACTGACCACTCCTAACGCGTGCAAGCAGCCAAAGCAATGGAATACCACTCCCTGGCATCCAGCGTACCAGATCTGCTCTTCACAATAACTTGGAAGCTGTCCCGACAGCACCCTGCATATGTACGTGCCTGGAAAGTCTAACTTACATAAACATACAAGCCTGCTGCTAGAAACAGTTTGCTGCTTCTCTGATGTGTCACAACTAGTGATAATTTTCACATTCTGGTCCATGGAAAGAAAAATAAATATTTTCCATTAATTATGCCCTTTAGTTTATGGCTTATAACAGAAAAAAATAAAAGTGATTTTCAGTACACAAAAAAGGATATATAATTTTAGGATTGACAGTGGAAAAAGGTAGTTTAAAAAGTACAAACTTAGATGCATCAAGCAAAAGAAATTCTAACATTTCACATGGTGGGCACGTTTTAGGGGAATCCCAAACACGCCTACATTCAGCTATTCTTTAAAACAAACCATGACAGGAGGATGCTCTGCTTTACCAGAAAACACCCTACGAACGATCCCAGCTGTTAAAATCCTCAGCTAATCCCAATTTTCTAAAATAATTTCTAAAAGCAACTTTCAGTTACCTGCAAAAGAGGTCAATTACTTTTTTTTTTTTTTAATTTTAAAAGTCTCTTATACTTCACAAGCACTGCCAACTCCAATAGCTCTGCGGGTTGATAATTAAACACGGCACACAAAGCAGAAAGGACACAGTTCTACTCGGAGGTACCAGCTGGATCATGGAACATGTTCAACTTTACGGCTGCTTGGTTATACAAAGTCACCTTTGATAGGAATACCGAGCAAGCTTATTCAACAAAAAAAAAAAAGCAGCTATGAAAGCAGACTATGCATCTCCAGGACGACTCTTCAGAGGCAGTTTTCTGGCCACGGCCTTGCTGTAAAAAGGTAAGATACACATTTAGGGAATCAGGAGGCAGACTTGTTTTGTGTGGTTTAGGTCCAAGAAAACAAAAATCCTTCACAAAATCTGCAACAAGCTTTTTATTGAATTCAATGAGGTTTGGAAGAAGCCACTGAATCTCAAGAGTTTTGTAGAGAAGTTTTAAAAACAGGAGAAAAATGTTCCAATATAAGCATTAATAATTCCACTTGATTCCTGCCAGCATTCAGCAAACCCTTCCCACCACACTCATCAGCATTCTTCTTGCAAGGCTGCAAGCCACAGATAAGCACCTCGAATGTTATCGCTTCCTAAGGCAAGAGCTTGTGCCAAAATTTAAAAAAGCAGCTGGCTGTAAGAAGAAACATCGCTCTGACTGCCACCACCATCTCAAAACCACTAATTACTTAAGGGAGGAGCAATCTCCAGTAGTGGTGTGTAACTGTTTAACACAGCAAAGCACATCTAAGTTTGCTGCCCCTGAGGAGTGTGATGCAGCCTCTTCCTCCTCCTTGTGCTCCCACCGTTTCCTTCACATCAGCTCTTCTGTTCCATCCACATGGACCAGATTCAGCACCATCAGGAAAGCAAAGGGTAAATCCTACAAAGTCAAACCTGTCTGGCAAAGGAATCCGCTTCACACGGTCTTTCATGTTAAGCTGTCACATCCCCAGAGCTGGTTTGGGTTAGATTTTTTTATTGGAGCACAGGTGCTGAAGGCCATATTAACATCACCTAATTTTAAACATGTAAAAATTCATTCTGTCACAGGGCTCCAGTACTTGAAGTGATGCAAAAAGGAACATTTAAACTAAGTTTCTGCTTGGAACCATCTTCTTGGGATCCTTCTGTTGGCTCTTTTGTGAACTTGGGCATTCGGTGAACACTAACTAGCACACAGGCCTCATCTTCATTGTTTTTTCTTGGAAGATGTGATGGAAAAGTAGAGTAGTGGGAATTCAGAACAATGGTTTCCATGTTGTAGAACTTGCATCCCTGGAGATATTCCGAACCTGAGTAGCCCCCAATCCAACATCAAAGTCTGCCCTACTCTGAGCAGGGTGTCAGACTACACGACCTCCAATCCAAATCATACCATGAGTCTGTGACAATGTTTTTCTTGATGTTTATTTAAATAAAACACTAGCAAACATTGCAGAAAAAACACTCTTCAGAAGCTTTAATAAACATGTTTATTTAATCAGAAGATTGGAAAGTTGTCACTTCAGTTTCTTAGCTGAAAGGCTGCACCTAGCAAGAATGGGAGAGGTAAGATTTGGGAAGTATAAAGTGAAGTGATAGAAGAATCGCTTTGGAAAAAAACAAATTCAAACTTCTAGGCACAGACAAAGTTATCCTCAGAGATGCAGACAAACCAAACCAAGCTTTCTTCTGGTAACTGACTCTCTAGAAGGTGTATTTTTTACTCCCTTTGCTGAAATACAGTATTTCTGCATTGGTTATGCCACACTATGTCACAATCTTAATATTGAGCAAGCATGGCTCCTGATTGAAAGTTCTCCATTCCTGTTTGCGTTTCCAACTTTGCAACACTTCTGTTCCCACGTAACCCAGCTCCGCAGTGACCGAACCTTCTCTTGCACCACATCACACACTCACCGTTTCACCACCTTTTTGTTTGGCCGCCTTCTGCTCAGCTTTAGCTCATGTATTGACTGTACATTGTTCTTCCTCAGGGATTTCAGCTTGCTTTCCCAAAAACCTGTTTTTACCCTATTCTCAGTGTGCTAAGGAGCAGGAACAGAGCACTGCTATCAGCTACGTACCACGCAGGGTGATGCGGTTAGCTTGTGGCTGAACTAAAAACCACGGAGGGGATGACAGCGTTGGCACTGCTACCCCGAGCACAGCTGCTCCTGAGGCTGGATATTGCAAGGTTACTACTTTATTGCAAGTTTTAAAACATGTACATAGAGAAGGAGGAATGCTGGTCTTCAGGAAGGTATTTTCTTGCTTATACTACCATGTGTCTTCATCATACACTTCTTCAGATTAGTTACATATTCAACTGCTTTCCAAGCTGGAAATTCTGTAGTGCATACATCAATGCTCAAATACACACCAGACTAAGCAGAGACCAACAGCCATACTAAATATTTCACTTTCCCTCCACGCAGATGGCAAGTGTCCTACATAAAAGCATTTTGAAAATGTCTTATTCCATTATTCCAGTCTCCATTCTACCTGTGCTTCTACAACTGAAGAATAAAACCAATTATAAAAGTCCAAAGCATCAAAAAAGAGTTTTGTCAACATATGTCACTGCACTGACTCACACATTAGTGGCAGGCAATTCACTTTCCTCTGGAACCCTTAATAGGTAGGCATATTAGTTTCCTTCATCTTCCCACTCAGAAGAGGCATTAATCTGTTTTTAAAGCAGTTTGATTAAGCTGATTATCTTTGCATACCCATTAAAAAAAGATCACTTCTCTTACACTCTTCAGAAATTAAATGCAGATGCAACTGTTTTAATTTTTAACGAAAAACCTCTCAAACAGCAAATATCTAAATAGCAAAAGGAGGCAACAGGCAACACAGCAGCAGCACTGCTGAGACTGCAGCTATCTCATAGCTGGTGGTAGTAAAGAGAAGTTTGATCCTTCATTAAGAAAGATCCATTTTTCCCTAACTGCTGTAAAGAAAAATCAGTGGCACTTTAGGAGGGATTACAGTATTAATTATTGCAATAAAAAAAGAGGTTTTTAGGAAAGACTACTTCTGAGTAAGAGACGATATATCAATATTTTCCTTCACCCATCTCAAAACAACTCAAGTCAAAAGACCACAGCAAGCTCGAAACCAAAATCTGAAGAAAATATCACTTTTTCTTAGAAGACTTCAGTTTTTCTTTCAGTTCGTTTTCCATTTGGATAAAACCCTGAGATCCAAATGCTACAATTGTTCAAACATAAGCCAGGAGAAGAGCTCTTCTGATGAACCACTGGAAGCTTAAAGCTCAAATTAATAACTCATTCTATAAATTTCCTTTTATTTCAGTTATTCTGTATTCCTTAATTTTAGGTGCACAACAGCCATATCTATCAAGAAGGATCACAGAACTACACAGATTGGTCTGAACTGTTGGGAGATCTGCAAGGATGGGATCTGAATCTCTGAAAGCTGACAGGACACAAAATGCTGACCAGGGCCTAAGCTGGTGGACACTCAGTAGACCTGAGTAGGTTCTAAGCTAGAAAGGTGATCAAGTGTGCTGCGGAAGGGAAATTATATCAAAAGGTAACCAAACTGCCCGGAAAAGTAGGGTAAT